TATATATATATATATATATATATATATATATATAACCAACTTTCTAAAGAAAAATCCGGAAGTTCCACTGGCATATGTATTACAAGGTTTACAGTTTCCTTAGGCTAATTAAGAGTACTTCTAGTACTACTCTATCGTCAGTTAGAGAATAGTATGCCATCTCCAGGGCAACAATCCTTCCTTGGAATGACCCATTTTAGTGAATTACTGTAGCACATAAAGTTCATGCAACTAAGAATCACGTTCGTGAACCTCAGCCACGTTGAAAACAATGTTTTCGGTACTGTGATTAGTCATTAATATCCTTGGTGTCGGAGTATGGAAAAATCCAAAGCACCAGTTGTGTATCTTAGTCCTTTTTTGAGAGCCGAAATCGCTCCCCAAACATAACTGGAGTGATGTCTTTGGGGATATTGGGGGTGGGTGGGTAAGCACATGTAAATGTCTGGCACCGGATAGGATGTGCCGCTCAATAATGGTTAGACCACTTAACGACTGCGCATAGTATGAGACAGATGGTTTGTGCGGAACCAAATGTGACGCTACATGCAAGCCTTTCGCATTGATGCACACCACGGAGAAGAGGATCGGCGGACGAATCTGAACAATTCGGTTGCAAGCCATCAGCCGGCCTAAATATGATGATATAACAACGGGCCCCCAGCAATAGTTGCTTGCTTACCATCGAAGTACCGGTATCATCCGTGAACTAGTTCTAGTTTCGGCGTAACACCATATCCTCCGAGTAAAGAAATATTCAAATGTTCCCAGGATCCACCAACTAACGTATCACCAAGGCGTTACTTGGTAACCTGGCGCTTTTCCATGAAACCTACAGTTACCAACGTGGCCCTGAGGATGACAGTATCCGCAAGTACCAGTTAGAAAATGGAACCCCAGTTTACTTTTAGGAAACGGACCACATATTTCCCGCATAAAGGGGTATTACCTGAAAAACCGCCAGAATTGACAAATCATGTAGTCCACATGTATTTGTGCTAGATATCCCATATCCCTGTACTGTGATCCCACAGTGAACAGCCCGGAAGGGTTCAATGCAAGGTCTGTATTTTGCTCCGGGTTACAAAGAAGGGCCTTGAAGACCGTCTTTAGCGAGATAGAAATTGGGCCAGTGGTAGTACGTAAGCGGTTGACGAGCTTTAGATTAGCAAGGAGTATTATAACAGCTCAATCAGAAACGGGATTCCGGTAGCCGAGGTAACTGATAATTCTGAGCAGAAAGCGCGTTGCGTCTAGAGTGTAGTTCGACTGTTTACACTCAGGTCACAGAAGGCGAAATGCAATTATGGTCTCACGTAGTTGGATGGGCAGGACGAGGCCGAAGAAGGGTGGTTCAGGTGTCCCCACCAGTCTGGCTTGATTCATAAAGAAGTAAGATGAGGCAATAAGCTCACAATCCTCTGGGATAGAGACCAACTATCCAGAGTTGTTGGCACACCTAGCTATCCGTAAGTCCGCCGTTGATCACTATATCGTCCGACGTTCATATGTTGTCATGAGCTAAGCTTACCTCAAACTATGTCCTCCGGAGGTCTGAAAACAGTATCTCCACCGTACACACAACCAATGATCTGTCAACCGACTAAGGCACCAGACGCACCCGTTCGTTCTTAGGTTAGGTGAAAACACTATCACGAGAAGGCGGTGAGTAGGACTTCTTCAACAGACGATACGTAAGTGGTATACCACCTAGCCATTTCGAGAACAGTGGGTGAGCCCAAGAGGGCTAGGCTGTACGTGGTACCCACCCAGACCACATTAATGAACTAAGAGGCTCGAATGCTCTCCTCATTCATTGAATTGAGCTCTTCCACTTTGATGATAAATATTGACAGAAACGCTTCACAACATCTAACTGGTGTGTTCGGCGTGTTGTAAGAGGCTTGCTCCTTATATCAATAGCGTATGAACGTTATTTCGTATTTTCAGCCGATGCCCTGCAATAACTTTGAAGCACTAATCCCTCTACCCACAAGCGGAGTATATCCATCAGAAGACTAGGCGTGCACTGGTTTGAAAAAAATGGGCTGCAAAGTGAGTACGGAGTTAGCTGTGAGATAGAGGGCAGATATGAACTTGATGGGTCTGTAGTTGTCACACAGTTACCTGAAAAACGCTTTTCCTGTCAACAAGTGGATCGCCATGAAATAGTTCCAGCGGTTTCGAATCATGGGCTACAGGCATAAGTGAAGGTAAACTGTTCAAGTGTGCTTGAACAGAAGGAACAACATTTTGAGCAACACCGTAAGTTGCGGAGCATTCGCAAGAACCCTTGGGATTTCCGCAATGTGTTTGATCATTGCTATTTTTGGGTATGGAATCTAGAAACATACGGACCGACTCCACGAGAGAGTGGACCACCGGTAAGCCATCTGCAGCAGAGACTTGCTCTGCCAGCTCATCCCGAATTCGATCAAAAAGAGGTCCGCGTAACCATGGTATCTGGAGTCTAAAAATGTTAGTTTACTCGATCAAAAGGACACACTCACTCATAAACCAAGCGCTCCTTGGTAGGGTATCCGGGCGGATAGCGAAACTGCAGCGTAGCGGACTGGTTGTCACATTCACTGTCTGAAGGTGATGAAATGCGAATGGCGTAGACACTACATGAAAATGCAACGAGCTTCGAAATAATGCCAAAATGGAACGTACTGACTTTCCGGTTCAACGATGAAGAATTCACTACCGTAGATGGACGACAGTGCCTCCAACTCCTCCAAAATCGACTGATCTTCAGAGGCACCGTCAACTTGAGAACACGTTGAAAATACTCTCGCCTGACTCATTTTGGAACTTCTACAGAATAAGTTGCGGATGGAAAGTGCGCGAGCAAAATATGTTTACTCGCTGAACACGAAGGACTAAAAGGCGCCCCAGAAAAGGAAAAAAAGAGTAATAGGTTAGAGGCCAGTTCAAGTTAACTACCTGTCAGTCATTGTTGGAAACGAGGGCGAAATGGCTCAGTGGTTAGAATGTGAATTTACTGATCGGAAGGTCCGTGTTGCGAACGTGACCTCTGACCTTCGACTTCCTCTGTCTAGGCTTGAGCGACCTAGTAGTATCTCAGTCCTCGTGCTTCCTCCTGATGACATGGCAGTTGGGCACCGAAAGGGTGCTACAGTTGAACGATTTATTTTTGTTGAAAAAACTGTAGACAGTAGATAATACAGCAACATCTATGAATTTATGTACTAGGTGATGACCTAGCACTTAACAAACCGTCTGTAGAATGAATACACGCGAGAACCTTTGAGATGCTGCAAAACAAGCGAGCCTTTTGGAATGGGCTCAATCCCCTCAGTCTAGATTTAAGCTGAACTGTGAAAATGCCCGAAATACGGATGTCCATGTCCCAGTCGCATCGGTTGGCTGGTCCACATGCGCATTAACCGTTTGTTCCATCTCCTTATCGGCAGCTGCCTGACACTGCCACCACAAGGATGACATCAGTATTAGCAGGATATGTGGGGTGCCGCCAGGCTACCCACTAGAACCTTGACTACTTTAACGTACGATACCTGGGAGTTTGTGCATCGTGAAGCGTTAGTATATTACCAATTATCATCAGTGGCAACAACAGGTGTCGAGCCTGATACCCCACTATATATCTACCTATCAGCTATGCTCCATGTGCCATATGCACAATGGTTCCAGCTGCTGCAGTTTCGATCACTGGGAGGTCGTGGGACTTACAGCCAAACCTCGGAGGCGATGGCATATTTGGTTAGTTCGGGAACTGGGTAGCCACGCTTTGGTGGAGATAGCTTTGATGGACGAGCGCCACTGACTGCGCGATTGGGTCATTTCTGAAAGTGCAATTAACCATTGGTGAGTTGAGCATTCTGCAGTGGGCTAGAAGCTCAGATATAGTTGTGAGTGCTGGTGGCATGAACACTCACGTAGGTTGACTAACCCTACTGAGGCATGATCGGGTGGTCGTCCTGGATTGGACACGAGACGCACGGGCAACGGGGATTGCTTACTTCAGATGTGTGCTGACCACAGATTGTTCCTCTGTAGTACGAATTTCTGGAACAGGGGAAATCGCTTAACAACGTGGCGCCCATCACCAAACCAGCCAGGAATCAAAACAGATCACATCGCCGTCAGTTATCGGTGTCGAGGGTCGATCATAGCCTATCGCTCATTCTGAAACGCCAGTATGGACTCCGACCATGCGCTTGTACGCTGCTGCTTTTCATTGTAATTTTCATATATATGCAAAACACGCACACCACTTGGCCGCTGAGAAGCTAGTGGACCCAAAAATCGAACGAAACTATCAGAATCAGCTCGTCGAACGCCTGCCGGACGGCCACTGGGAAAAGATATCCAAAGCGTTATTCAAAGCTGGATCCTGTGTTTGTGGTACAACCCAGCCAACTTCATCTAAACATTGGATATCTGATAGGGCTGGAGACCCGGCGACAGATTCCTCGTGGCCGAAACCACAACTCCAGTGGATGCATCATCCGACACCAGATGAAACTGAGTGTCCGTGCAGACCAAGAAGCTTGATGGACCAGAAAGGCCGAAGAAATGGAAGATGCAAAGAATGCTGGAAACGTCCACAAGCTGTTCCACTAGATTTATTCGATTGGTCCTCAGACACCACTCGTCATCGAAATAATCAGGGACCAAAATGGCTCTGTCATGCAGCAAAGCAGAACGTTTGGGCCGCTGGGCACAGTGTTTCAAAAAGCAATTCAGCTGGCCACCTGCTACCGCCAATTCAGAATCGTGATCGTCGAAACGTGAGAACCAAGCGGGGTATCGACCGGGTAGAGGCTGCTTTGACCACATTTTCTCACTCCGTCAGGTGTTAGAGCAACGCCACATGTAGAGACGACCCACAATCTTGGTATTCCTTGACTTTAATGGTGCATTCGATTCTGTCAATCGGTCAGTGCTGTTAACTACACTTGCTCAACAGGGTATGCCTCAGGAGTTTGTGAACATAATCCGATCCCTGTATTCACGTACTTCTGGGTGAATGAGTGCATGGTGAGCTCTCCGAAAGCTTCCCTACAAAAGGTGGTGTCAGACAACAATGTCCACCCTCTCCGTTCTTGTTCAACTTCATCATTGACGAGCTAATTAGGAGAATACTGGACGGTCTTCAAAACCCCGGTGTTCATATTGCTGCTGGTTAGAGCCTTTCCGATTTGTAGTACGCAGATGAAATCACCCTTCTCTTTGAAGACCAGAGAGAAGCACAGGCTCTTTTGGCATGCATCTTGAATCTTTAAGGAGTAAAGCTATGCATACCAAAGCACCGACTACCGAGACGAGTGTTTTTTTCCGTGCCTCTTTTATAATGACGAAAACCGCGAGGTGAACAACGCATGACTTGATAGAAGGGCGTGAATAAAATCACGAAGAGTCTGGGGAAGGTCAGTAATGTGCACCTTCAGGGATGGAGTCGGCTGGAGACATTGCAAAAAATGGCAGCTAATCGATGTCAGTGGCATTCGCGCTGCCAGTTTCTTTCCAGATTGTCTGATTGAGCGCACCTCAGAATGCTTGAAATAGGACAGCACTGTGTCCTCTCCCTCACCCACTCTCTTTCTGTTTTTCCACTAAAGGGTTCTAAATATAGTAAGACGAACACTATGGTTGAGGATGATGATGATGACGATGAAAAGCAGTATGGATCGCACCGCCGCACTATAAAATCTGCCCTTGACAGACAAACGCACGTCACGTCGGCACCATGGATTCGAGAAATAATCTCACCTCAGTCAATCCACCGGAACTTTCGGTGGATAATCGTTCAGATCTACCGCTCTTCCGGTGCCTAGCTGCCGTGCTATCCGAAGGAAGCACGAAGGCTAGGGTACTGCCAAGTTGCCCAAGCCTAGACAGGGAAAGTCGAGAAGCAGATGTCGGGCTCGAACGTCAGTAAGTAAATTCGCGCTCTAACCATTTGAGCCATCTCGCCCCACTTATACAGCTGCCCGGGTAAACAAACTCATTTACCGCATTAATTGGCTCGCCTGCGAGCATGAGGTCTTGTACGGGGGCATTGTGAAGAAGCGATGAAGCCTTGAGGTGTAAGATGTCCAAGAGTTTGACGGTTGGACGATTTTTAAGCTAAGCATGGTATGGACTATGGTTACAAACGCCATTTTACGGATGATCCGACGCACTTTCTCCCGTATTACTCGCATGGACTCCCAAATACCCTACGGGGCCTACGTCGGACCGCTCCTGGAGTACGCCAACCAAGTTGTTTACTCAGGACGCACGAAAGACGTCACCCTCATTGAGCGTGTCAAGCGGGCCGCTACGAGAATGGTTGCCGGCCTCAAATCCGTGGACTACGAAACGCGTCTCGCGATGCTTGATCTCTTTCCCCTGGAGTACCGTCGCCTCCGAGGGGACCTAATTCTTACTTACGCTCTGTTTGAACAAAGCTTGGCAAAACGGTTTTTACCGTTGACCCAGCGGGGGCAGTGAGAAAATTTTCAAGCTCAGAGCACACACATTCATTAGACAAATTTTTTTTCATTTCGGGTAGTAGCTGTGTGGAATGACCTTCCTCCGACGGTTGTCCACGCTCCGTCTAGAACCCAGTATAAAGCACTGTTAGACATTTATTTATGCGAATCCTCGCGCTGACAAGCATACTGCCCCGCGCTGAGAACATAAAGAGCAGTGCTACACCCTTTTTTCACTTGTCCCTTTCAGGTGAACGACAGCCACTGACCGACAAGAACAAAACCGACCGGGAAACTTGGGCAAAAGCCTCGATCCTGTGTATCAATCCGTGAATCTAGGAAGTGGATAATTAGAGCCTCACAACAAAGTACTTAATTCATGAGGGTGCTGTCGTCTGAGTGCAAATTAGCCGCATCATAATTATGATGCTGAGGGAAGAAGCGTTTCTTTTTGTAGGTTGTATGAGTCTGTGGTGGCGGAATGACTATGCAATTGGGACAGGATGCGTTGTTTTCACCAGGCGGGACTAGTCAGACTGATATTGGAATTTCAATTTAGGTGACATGACGGAGGACGGGAGAGTTTAGTTATCGTGTAGACCTCCCAGATATGCGGTTAATAACTGTAAAAACCAGACTGCGCCTGGGTTAGGCTGGAATTCAAAAACCCTACTGCGCCTGACCTTGAGATTTTATTCACAAGCTACTCAAAAATTCTTCGAGAGCAAGTTTGTCTGTTTGCCTGTGATAAAGCGTGTGGCTTTGGCGTGCACTGGAGGAGTAAGGATAACAAGTTTTTCCCACATGCCAGATGCCCGACCGTGTCAAAGTACAACAGAACCAAGGTATACTCACCGCTGATAATCTCAGTTAACGGCGAATATGTTGTGCCTGTCATCTAAAATATGTTAACCACATCGGCACTAACAGCACAATACAGTGTGTCCCATGTCTTCCGGACACAGCCGTGTGCACATTTGAACAAGAACCCGCCCACTAGACGGCCATTAGCGGGAGCGATGTTTCGGAGAAAATTCAAAACGCGCATTGTTATTCTACTCATGAGAAGTCGCAGTGAAATAATTGAAAAACCGTCCAAGAAGCGCCACAACACGAGCGTGTACCCATCCCATTAGAGAAAATACTCATGTGGCATAACTAGGACGATTCCCGAGCGCATGCCAAGATATTTTCCGGCACAACAGTCTGCTTCATTAGTTAGCCCAGCCGGGCGGATTATATACAAATTGAATCCGATCAAAAGGCGCATGGAAACCAAGCGAGTTCGTCTTGCGTATGCTTTGAAACACATTTGGTTTAGGTTCTGATACGGAAACTCCTCCTTC